CGCCGAGGCTGCCGCCCCCCGCCGGTGGGGTCACGCTCCGAGCCCCGGCCTCCTCCCTTAAAAACTTCTCCCAGCGCGCGCCGTGCCGGGCGGAGGTCGCTTTGTGACAGACGGAGCTTGCGTTTCTGAACCTCTGGCTCTGGGCGGCTGTTCCAGTCGCTGTAGTCCAGGCCCTTTGCGGACCGGCCTTTTTTCGAGATGTTCAAATTCAGCAGTTTCTGTAGGTTCTATTGGGTCTAAGTTAGAAAATCTCTGAAGTTATCTGGCTGCTGGCAGGCCATGATTTTGCAGTTTGGCAAACTCTGTGAAAGTACTGTATTCATTATAGGCCCAAACAGCACGTCATTATGCCTTTTGCTTTCTTCCATCATCTCAACAGGGAATATATTCAAATACAGACACTCCAGCTTAAGTCATAAATGCAAACTGACAAGTTTCAAGCTGTCTAGGGAGAACTCATCCATGCATTTTGAGAGGCTGTTCTCTCGCTTACAAGGAAGGCTTTATCCAGATGTGCACTGTGCTGGAAATGCAGATCTCGTTTGTATGCCTCTGAACTTGCACTGGATAGGGAGTGTAAAATGTCATTAACAGTAAGCACCCCAAACTAGATGGAGGACTTTATGCAATGAGGATGGCATTAAAATATTAGTGCAGTTATTCACTTATAAAATAAAAGATCTCTTGTTCCTTTAAAATTTGTCATTTTGAAATGAAATTCTTTCCGTAGCCATGTAGTAATATGTGTACGTTGAGATAAAAAACAGGACCCTATGAGATAAAAAACAGGACAAAGCCTCCCCTCTAAAGAGTCCCTAATCTAAGGGCCTGATTCTGGGTCTGATTTTCTGCTACTCCACCCTTTCCAACCCAGCAGTCAAGGCAAGTAGAGACAGCGCTAACACAGTGCCATATTAATCAGATGGTAAAGAAGCATGAAAAAGGAGCATAAGGGAATAGTTTTCTGTTTAGTTTAGATAATGCCAAGTGGGACCTGTTAAATTTAATCATTTGGCCCTTTGTTCACCAGTGTTGCCATCCTTCCTTACCAAAACTCCAAAGTATCTTCTAGCTTCGCCTTCATCAAAACTTCCTCCTTTATGCACCGTACAAGACTCTCTCCTTAGTGTCCAATTTCTTCTGAAAACTTAATTGGGCTTATTCTAAGACACCCACGCTTCTTACAGTAGGTATACCTTGTGTGGTTGCCTCTGACAGTCATATTGCATATCAGAGTAGGTTTTATGAGATATATTCCTGTAGGTCTACCATTTTGTGTTGGCACTTAGGAAAAAAATCAATAAAAATAGTAGTGATAATACAGGAGAAAAATTATCTCCTAGCTTTTTTCTTTTCAAATGTTGATATAAAATCAGTTGACTAATAATGCAATCATGCTTTGTTTTGTACTGCTTATCTGATTTTAGTCTGCAGTTATAGCAGATTTTTTAAATCCAGAAGAATAAGACAAGTTGTTCTTTAAAATTAAAATCCCAGTTTTGAAACGGTAAGTGGTCCTCTAACTGCACAATTTCAGCAAAGGTAGATTAAGGAATTTTAGGTAAAAGTAACCATCATTTGTCTTTTGTGCATGAGTTACCCTTTGAGCATAACAGTTTTGCAGATTATATCTGTAGATTAACTGTGACCCAAATTTATTTAAAAGTCTAGGCTAGAAAATATTTTTTTTCCTCAAGATTAAATGAAATCTGTTCAATTACATCTTTATTTTTTTTAAAAGATAGGAATAATCAGGTGATTTAAGCATATGACTTGGGCCAGTAATCACATAGAGCTACTTGATGGATTGCTTTCATAGATTTGGGAAAGTCACGTAGGCTTTCGGTGCTTTATTTTTTTTTTCAAACATGCAGTGTTACATTAATAATTCTTGGGATTACCAGGTTACTGAGAACTTAATATTCTGTATATCTTATATACTTTATTAAGTTTAATATATATACTTATACACTGTATTAAGCATGTTTATATAACATTTATATACTTATGTACTTTAAGTTTAAAAGTTTAATATTTCATTATTCAATATTAAGAAAAACTTAAGACCCTACAGGTGGGAAAGCTATTGTCATTTTTAAATTTTCTCCCTAACCCTTGGTATTGGTTTTATAATCCACTACTCTTATTTTTAAAAAAAAAAAAAAAAAGTTTGCTTTTCATTAGAGCTGTGAATAAAATCCACTTTCATCCAACTGTCCCAAACTACTTTTTTCATACGGGAGATAGATTTTTGCTCTGTAGTCTGCTGATTCATACATGCTTTTGTGATATAGGTTTATTTGGCAAAAGTTTTCAGAATTTCTTGGAACTGCAGTCATGAGACACTATTTCTCAGCAATGGACTTGAAAAGCAAGCATTTCCTCTCTTGAGAATGCCAGTAAAAAAGAGGAGGAGAAAGATTTTGTTTGCTGGAGCACTTTGCTCCTTTTTTTTTCTTTTTCCCTAAGCTGCAAAAAGGCATTTGTGTTCTTTTCAAAAATTTTATTAGTGTGCTCAATCACATTTTGTCTGTTCCAAAAGTGAAAAACTCAGCTTTTGAGTAATAGTTTTCCTGAGTGTTTATGAGAAATTCATTGTTAAAGTATGCCTTTTGATGAGCAGTAACTGCTTCCTGTAAGGTCCCAAAACAGTTTCCTTTCTAATCTATTTGCACTCACAATTTTCTTATTTCTAAAATAATTGTTTATTATTTCTTAGCTTCTAAGGTTGAAATTTTCCATGTTTAATCTTTAGAAGCTTATTTTAAAGAACGGTCAATCATGTGTGTGAGAATAGAAGAAATAAGTGGCAATTTGGATAACGAGGTTTGGAGCAGAGTCTGACTTATGCTGAAGTAAAGATACACTATAAAAGAAGTGCTAGTTCTGTTAAATGTATTGTAGAAATTAAGATTCTATTGCTACGTTTTGTTTTAATTCATGTAGATAAATTAATCAATAAAAGGCATGGGCTTCTTTATTTAAAAAAAAAAAAAGTAATTTTTCTGTCTGTGGCTTACTCAGCTGGGAAAGATTCCGACTGTTGTCTACACTGTGTTTATGTTAATTGACAGCAAATATTCAGCAGCTGTTCTTGAGAGTCTTGCCAGTTTTTGAGAGGTGGTATTTGAAGGAATATGGCTTCAGTAGCATGCATCTGTGGCTACATGCTCTTATGTGTATACAGTGCCCACATGCATATTTCCAAAACGGCATTAAATTCTTCCGAAGCTAATCGCTTAAGGAGTTTATACCACAACAAAATTACTGATCCCTCAGCCAATTCCTTTAGTCTGGCCATTCTCAAATCTGGTAGAAGTGTCAAGGGTTGTTCTACTTTTGTAGTTAGGTTAGTAGCAGAGGGTACTCAGCCACCAGCAACGAATATGTTTTTTTGGTTTCTTCTACCTCAAAATCTAACAGAACTTCTGCAGAAAGCCAAAAGCTTGTCTCCTACTAGAAGAGATCTTCTGAGAGTTTCTCTCCTCTTTACTCAGTCACACAAAGGGAATCGGGAAGTTCTGGAATCGCAAATACCATGCCACCTGGGAGCTCTGCAGATGTAAGCAGAGCAGCTGCAGCATGCAGGTAGTAAGTGTGAGAACACTGCGTCCAGACTCGGAGTTTAGAAAATACCAAGAGCATAAGAGGAAGGGGAAAAAAGGGTTCTGTGTCAACAGATGATGTGTTTTTGAACAAGATTTATCCCTGTTTATGCTGAATGCAAAGTCACGGTCACCCCATATTAGTGAGCATGACTATACATACAAATTTACCTAGTTATCAAATACTCACACCATATGCATTTCTAGCGATGTGCAAGCTGGTAGCCACATCTAATCCAGAATAAGATCTTCTACCAAATAGCTACTTTGTGTCTTCTTGTAAAATCTTGGAGCAAAAATGCTGTTCGGCGTTCTTAAAGGGATTATTTCATGAACTTCATAGTGAAGTTCGTTCATGAACTTCGCTATGCTTCAAGAATTGTAATATATAAAAGCTGCATAATTTTCCTTTTCTGAAGTTGTGCTGGATGGTCTCATATCATGGCTATGTATATGTTTTACAACTTCTACTTGAGTTATTGTTTTAATAAATGTGCATTCTGTTGGCATTCTGTGCAAGGGTCTTTACTCAAAACTTTTTAAAGAGGTTGGTAGTTCTCAGTATCTAGGGTAACGGTGATAAGACTGTGAAATTATATTACAGTCAACAGCTCAGGCACTTCGTGCTTAAATTACTTCATTTATCTGAGTGGAATCATATGGCTCTGATGGCATATTGACTGTTAATGAATTGTTTTGGTCCAGTGCTTACTCTTTTAATATCTTGGGTACAAACAGCATCTCTTGTGTTAGTACCTGAAAAGGGTAGGTGCACAGCAGGTGTCAATCTAATATCCTCTGTAACTAAATTTTTACAGAAGTCTTCTAACTCATTTGTATCACCCTTATTCTCCTACAGTTCTCGTTGTTCCATGAACAATCTTTAGGAGGATCAGGCACCGCAGAGGATCTTAATCCTGACATCTAGCACAGTGATGGCAAGAATCTCACGTGCTGCACTGCGTACCCTGTGGATCCTTTTCTTTTCATATGCAACAAATGAAAGTACGTTTGTCAATGTTTTCAATTGTTACACTGTAGTTGTCGACAGTACCTTACCATGAGCAGGAATAACTAGTAGATGACATTATTACTACCATTAATTGACTAGAATAAAATGCGTAACTACATGTATCAGAGATATTCATGTATTACAATAAATTCTCAAATCTTTTCTTTTTACTGACCTTTTCTGTATTAGCAGTAAGAAATAGGAATTTGCGAGAAGCAGAAACAGAGGTTTGGAAAGTCATCTGTCTGCTTCCGCATTATCTAATCTATATTGGACATCTTGCTGCAAACAGGATTCTCTGCAATGACCCAGGAGCATCTCTGTAAACATCCCGTGAGGGTGGAAAGCCCACTAGTCTCGCATTTGCTTATTTTCATAACTGCCACTATCCATGGTGTGGGCCAAAAAGGAGCCATCAGCAATAGACATTGAGGGAGCTGTGCTCATAAACCGGAGGGTGAACGTATAGACCTACAGTCAAAAGGCAGCTGTCAGCGTGCGTTCTCCAAAGTGCGTAGAGTTACTAAGTTAGAAAACTTAGTTGACTGGATTTGAACAAGTTTTGCAAGCACTCACTGTAAGGCGTTGCATATTGTTACTGGTGCTATTATACAGGGACAGATGACTGACGTGTAGTGAAGAGCACGCAGGGCATCACATCTTTTGGTCTAGCAAGATGTATATTCGCATTAAGCCTTAGCGCTGCTAGTCATTTAATGGTTATTTTCTGAAGTTCACTTGGCAGGAGCTGAATATGAAAAAAAATTTTCCTGATATCTTTTCTGATATTTCATTATAATAAGAAGTTAGATTTATAAAATCTTATCTTCCAGGAACATGCCTTTATTCTCTGGGAAATCAGTTTATATTTCCTTTTCATAGTTTTTAAGTAGCTACACAATAGTCTGCTTTTTCTTTTCTCTTTTTAAGAAAAGCATACCAAAACAGTAAAAAACAAAACAAGAATAACTTATCCCTTTTAAAAAAAAAAAAAAAAAAAAGGTTATTAGCTACTTCCTTATGTACTATGAGTTCAGACATGCTGCTGATGATGCTGGAGGGAATTTTGCAATTTGAATTAGAGTGATCAAGCTTTGTAAGTGCACATTGTCTGGGTCATTTGATCTAGGTGGTCCTAGATTTTCTATAAATTATCAAGGTTTATAATTTCACAGATTTCTTTTTCCTGGTTTCAATTTTTTAAGTTTCTTCATCACGTTATTCTTGCTGAGGATGAAAAAAGAAGTCCAGTATTTCAGTTCCCTTTTTCAAGTACATGAACTGAAAACAAACTTTGTACTGCATGTGGTTTCAAAAGGAAATTTTCAAATACCTGAGGTTTACAAAAATGTCATACCAGAGATGGAAAAGGGAAAAGGTCACAGGAAAAGAATACAGAGAATAATTTACAATGCAGGAAAGACATGAGGACACTAAAAGGCAAGATAAAACTGCAAGTCCTTATAGCTTAGCACACCAGGAAGAGCTTCATTATAATTCAAGGGGTGTTGAAAGTGTAAGATCATTAACACACGGAAAAATAGTAAAGTCCATCTTTAAAGGGCTTTAAAGTAGTTCTTTTAAAAGTCCATCTTCAAGTGGAAAAATAATAAAAATGAACGGTAAAAATATAAATAGCAACACAAAAATAAACAACAGTAACAAGATAAATAGATAACAGTTCTTTTAAAATAAATGAGCCGTGTGGCTATTAGAGTATTGCAGAAGTTAAAGATTAAACTTGCTGTTCTTCTGATGGTTTTTCTTTTTTTGTTGTTTTTTTGAAGGATCACAGGAGTGCAGGACAAAAGGGAACTAAATGTGGTGCTGTCATTCAGGAAGTAATTAAGAGTGCTTGTTTTTACCTACAAGATCAATATCTATCCTTAGCAGCTAAAATAGAACAAGACACTGTTTACATATGTGAACAATAATGAAACTGTGAGCTACAGGTACTTCTAGGTTTATAGCCAGCCAATATACCGGAAAAATTAGATTATGATTCTTACAGAACTTTAAAATGATTCCTTGAAATTGCGCTACATTTTCATTGGCGTAAATGAGCCCCACTAAGTTTATTGAGATTACTCAAGTGATCCAGGGTTGCTTGGTAATCGAGTTTTGTGGGAGGCCTTTTAAAAAGAGAAGTGAAAGTGATAGGTGGTAGTACCAAAGAGACAGTATTAAACAATAAACTCTTTGGATCAGTTTTCTAATGAAGTTACACTAGGCCTGGTGGTAGATCCAATTGTATTTAACACGTCATTATGACCAGCATGTTTATCTACAGATGCAGATATCAAAGTATGCAGAAGTTATTTTAGGAAAAAAAAAGATACAAAGGGACCACAGAAAAGGAATAGTAGGAATAGTGAAACATGGTATTTTTGACAATAAAAATTCTTGCATGGGAGGAATAATCTGAAATATGGACGCTCATTGGGATGAAGACGACTGCAAAGCCCCAGTGGCTAAAGGATGTGAATCAGTGGCAAATTAGTCTTGAATTTGCAATATAAATGACAAGAATGAAGTTAGTGATGTGCTGGGCTGTGTGAACTGAATTATTTGCTTACTATACAGAAATGAAAGCATGTCTTTATATGGCCCTTATATAACTGCAGGAGGAATACTTCTAGCAGAATCTCTTAGGACACTCACATTCAGAAAAATATCAATAAATAGGATGCTAACAACCAACCAAAGCTATTATAAATTTTTGTGGGGAACTGAGATGTAGAGCAGGAGAGAAATAATTAGAGCTGCAAGAAAAGGGAGATACTGTAAATATTTACAAATATCTGAAAGGTCAAACGCTGAAGAAGGGAAAGAACTATCCAGCAAGATAAAAGTATTATTTCTGACAGCTTTATTTAGAAATGATCACATTTCAGTACCACAGGTTTGGCACACTGTTAATCCTAATAGCAGCACGATCTTAATGTCACATAACTGCTTCTGCTCCTTGTTCCACTATGCAGTGCATATTAAAACAATGGGAAAATGGGGTTGGAAGGGATACTGAGGGTTGGGTTTTCCATTTCTCTTTCCAGTTCTGTCAAAGCTGTTTTGACCAATGTTTTCTTAGTTGTTCTTAAACACTACCTGTAAAAGAGATAGCAAATGCTAATAACATTGGAGTACAAGGATTTAGGGCTTTTCCATGCCCTCTCAATGCCCAGGACAAGGTGACTCTGAATCTGATCAGAACTCTGAATGTTATCACAAGAAAGAAAAATACAAAGCATAACGGGAAATACTGAATGAAATTAAGAAAAGCATATACTAGACAAAAATCTGTGACAGGGAGATCCTGTATGCAACAGGGAACTGCTTGAGGGAGACAGAGGGCCATTCACACAGGAGGCTTGGAACCAGAGTAGATAAAGCACAGAGATCTTGGTCTCGCTCTGTTCATCGTCTGCATTTTGTTTTTTGAACTGTGTGTATTTAACACATGGGATGATGCTGTTTTATAATTAAAAGTTGGTGTATTTTAGGTAGAGCTCATCAAAATCAGATTTTCTGTGCTTAGAAGTCTGTCTGTATTAGATGAGTTGTGCTTTTCTATTACAATATTTCTACTGCAGACCTTCTTCAAGAGCACAGAGGTGGTCTTCACCTTTCTGGAGACGTTTGCTGTCACACACCTCTTTCCGTTTACCCAGAACATGAGAAATGGCTGTGCTTTCACTTCCCTTACAAGGGGTTAATCATTCTGTTTAGAGGAAAAGATTTTATGTTCCTGCTTAGTCTTAATTTATTCTTTTGATCCTCTTGTTTCTTACTGTGTGCTGCTTCTCCCTAGTTATGGCTACAGGACATGTACAGGAGTTTGCATGCTTCACTGACTATGCTGAAGAACTGGTTTGTCACTGGAAGGTGCCCACACAGACAAACTGCTCCGAAGCTTTCCTGCTCTATTATAGGAAGGAATTTTTGTCGCTGAAGTAAGTGTTTAATAAAGCATTCCATTATCATTTTTGGACCTTCAAATATGCTATAGTCAGCTTTGATTTCCTCCCCCTGCCACAGGAGCCTAGGACAAAATGGAATCAGGATTTTTCTTCTTGACGAGGAAAAATGGAACGCTGCTATAAACAGCATGCTCTATTCAGTGGCGCGCTCTTCTGCAGACCTCTTCGCACTTAGTACAGAGGAGTGATCAAGTATTACTTGTGGGAGTGCTAGGGCTCATAAGTTTTTCTAACCTTCATTTCAGGAAAATGTTTACCTCCTTCAGGAGAAACTTACTTAATTTACCTGTCTGTAGCCTGTGTAAGAGGAACCCTTGCCTAGAGTCCAGGTGAACTTCTCTGCATGCAGCATAACTCCTTGTTCATACCCAGACTGTTTGCCCCTGTTCTGCAGCAGAGGGAGTCTTCCTGTCAGTCCTACAGAGGAAGACACATCTGGGCTCTTCCTCTTCCTTTCTGTATGATTTCTCCACAGAGACATCCAAATAACCTTGTATTTTTACAATGTAGTAAACCTGTTTCCATACTAACAGGTCATTAATCTACTCTTTCAGAGGCAGAAGCATGACAAAGGATGCTTTTGGTGTTAATTTTTCCTCTTGAGATCAATCCTTAGTTTTCCATCAAGTTTTTCACTAGTGCAATACAGATAGCTGAGGAGTATTTGGGGATGGATAGATTATTTAGGGGTTTGGAGGACAGTTCTGTTCCGGGTTGTTTTGGCTAAATGTTTCTAGGAATTAAGCTTATTTATCTCAGATTATATTAGCTCTACACATTGGGAACCTTGATTGTGCATTTTGAAGAATGGAGTGTGTAGCACTATGTAAATATCACATCACTTTCTGTCTGTTTTTCAGAAACGATGTCTGTGTCCCTGAGAATGGAAAAGAGAGTTTCACCTGCACTTGTACAATATTTTCTGATTATTTTGTGTCAGGCCTCACCTATATCCTAGCTCTGCAGTTCAATGGGACTGATATGTGGAATTACAGTGTTACACCAGCCTTGGTTGGTAAGAAACTATTTGCTTTGTCACCAGGACGTCTAGTAACATACGGGTTACTTTGCAATCCTAGCTAGCTCCTCATTAATGTTGCCTGAAGAGTTTTTCCTTATTAGAGGTGAAAAATGCTCTGCTGGCTCAAATCTAAGCCAAGGTTACTTGGCTTAGTAACCTGATTCTGGAGCAGATTCTTAAGGAAAGAGTAAAAGAAATGGGACAAGAAGAGAGTGATTCTTCCTCTAGCTGTACCCTCTCAGCTTCCAGCAATCAGCAGTTTGAAGGCTTAGACATATCTTGAGTATGTTTTGCTTCTGGCTGTAGAAGGTGCTTAGGTGGCCGAGGAAGGTGCTACTTCTCGTCTCTAGGAAGAAACTAGACTACCCCTGCTGCAATTCTACTATTTCTGTCTTTCTCATCCTCCCTGATTTTTTCATACTCGTTGAATCATCCCCCTGAACAGAGCTTTTTCCAGTAATTACTGTTGGATTATAACAACCAATGATAAAAAGTTAATGATTCTTCTCTTTCTTAGGACAGAGCATAGATTTAGTTTGTATCTGTCTTTACAAGCACCCAGCTTGTTTAGAACAATGTGTCACCTCAAACACTCAAGAGACATCGTTCAAGGGTCTTAAGCAGGCATTCATCTGCATCAGTGATCTGGTTCATTTCAGAATACTTGATGCTGCTTCTGCTTGTCAGCAGAATAAGCAGGAACCTGCGTCAGTCTCGAAAAGACAGTTAGCCAAGATAATCTGGCTGAGAAGTTGTTAGAAGCTCTGTGCCTACCCCAAGGCACAGCATGCTACTGTGAGGGCACAGATTATCGCCATTTTTCCAGTTTGGAAGCTGCGTTCAGTGTATCAAAAAGTAGAACTTGAAATTTCTTCAGCTAACTTGAAGACCCAATGCTTGTTAATGAAGACTTGCAGTTACTCTCTTTTGGCCTTTATATCCTTGTGCTAGAGCATAGCGAAAAGGGCTAAATGCATTGACTGCAATGAGACTCTGGTCTCTGGTGAATATCTGTCTCTCTGCTTCTGTCCATCAGTGCTTTCCCATTGCAATGCTGCTCTTAATTGTATTTTTTAATGTACAGTTAAGCCAAGGGCCCCCAAAAATCTTGCCATTGAGAAAGCTGAAAATGGTAATTTCAATCTGAGCTGGGAAGAGAGCTATACCCCTCCATCCATGTTCTCTGGACAGCCGGTGATCTATGAAATAAAATATTGGAGCAAACAGGACCCCACAGAGGTAAGAGGTGACCAGTCTTTTCATTCTCTATCTCTGCAGCTTTCAGGTTTTAAAAATCCGCTGAAAAATCTTGAAGAACTTTATAATCATTTCATTATCAATAGTGTCAGGGCCAGCAAGAGCAGCTCCCCGTGTGTTCCTGAGCACACCCTTGCCACAGGTCCCTTTGCCCCAGGGAGGTTCAAACTGGGCTTTAAGGGACTGAAACTCTTCTGACTGGCCTGCTGCTCTCAGTATGCTAGGCAAAGATTCAAAATATGACGTTTCTGTTCCCAGACCTTCGTTGTGCTCCTTGGGCATCAGGAAGCTTGAGGCAGCCCATGACTTTGGCACGCTCGAGGCATATCGGGTGCTGTCCAGAGCACTCCAGCACTTTAGGGCCAGGCTCCTTCTGGAAGGGGAAGAACGTGCATAATGGCGTCTCACAAATGTTACCCACTAATGACAGCAAGTAGTAGTATCACAGCAGATCATATATACAGTCATTCGCCTGCTCTTTTGTGGAAGGTCACTGAAGCACGTTAACAGTACTAGCATCTAATTGTTGCCACTGACCCTTCATCCCATAAAAAAGTCAAAATGAACTTTCTCCCTTTCTTTTCAGGTTTCTATAAAATCAATTAACTATCAGACAAAAAGCTTCGAAATCATTGCAAGCTCTTTGAGGAAAGGGTATGATTACGTTGTAAGTGTACGGTGTAACTATACAGAATACCCAGCCTACTGGAGTGACTGGAGTGAAAGAGTTGAATTTCACTATGGTAAGTATTGTTACAAATTGCAGCTTGGCAAAAGGATAGTATACTTTTATAAACCACATTCTGCATGTCCCAGTGCCTCTTATTTATCAGAGGAGAATAATGCAATCAGTGATTTGCAAATAAAAATATAACTGCAAATAAAATAATCATCATCACTTTGAATGTATTGTGAACCAATCTGTGAAGGCTTCCAAGGAGACTAAATTAAAAAAGCAACTCCTGGAAAAACAGAGGAAGGGAACTTGGATTGTTTAGCCTTGTGGAGGAACAAAAAAAAAGCTGAAAGAGGATATATTTGTTCTCTACAAGTATTTTAGGAATTAGACATCGAGGAAGAAGAGCTGCTTAAACCAAAGGGCAATGTTCATGCAAGAGCAAGTGGGTATAAACTAACTGAGAGACATTTAGGCTTGAAATTAAGCAACACTTTTAACCATGAGAGAGCCGAGGTTTTAGAAGAGTCTCTGAAGAGCAACAGAGAGCACAAGAAGCATGACTGTGCTTCAGTGGAGGTTGGTAATGCCATGCTAGGGACTACACGACAAATTTGTCTCTGAGAGCTGGCAAATGGCTTCAGGGCACAGGTGGGCCCTCCCAGCTCCTAACTCGCTCCCAGTAACTGAGTGCAGTACTCATACTGGTCTTTCAGACATGCTACACCTCATTGCCACTGGCAGCTGTATATGTTCTCATGTTTGTCTGAAGGCTTTATTTTATATCTAGCAGTATTTTAAGTCGCAAAAGAAGAGCGACAGATATGATATTCACAGCACTTGTATTTATACATGCATACACCTGTAAATGTATATGTTTATTTAATAGATTATCAAGTAACCACTGAAGACATTCTGCAGATGGCTGTTCCTGTATCCTGCATACTGATCATGGCAGTAGCTGTAATTTGTTACTTCTGTTTTACCAAGTATGTATAACACTGTTTAAAGGTTTATAGAGTAGCAGTTCACACAGATCTTGGTATTGTAGATTGGTTGAATGTCTAGTAGTACAGGAATCTAATGGTTTATTTTTCCTCAGCACCTTTATCTCGGACGCCACAAGCAAATTTTTTATATACGTGAATCAGTTGCACTCTGTCATCTGCTGAAAGGATAACTGAATATTCTCTATCAGTCTTATTAGAGCAGGCTTGTTATGGTATCCAAAGCAAACTGCAGCTATGGGGCCTGTCATTTTGGTGCCCCAATCTTTGCTGGAATCCCAGTAATGATGGTTAAATGTCTGTATTTCTTTTTTCATTTTTAGTAGTAATATATGAAAGTGTGATTCTATCTGTTTGTCTTATCTTTTCAAACATGATTAGAAGAACATGTGACTGTGGTTGCACAGAACATTTATCACCATATATATAAATGTCTTTGCACTAGTTTAATAAAAAGTAACATTTGGAGATGCACAGAAGAAGCACTTCCTGTTGCCGAAATGCCAACAAGCTAGGTGGGAGAGCAGAGCAGAGGAGGGAAATGTACAGAGATCAAAATGCAGTCAAAGGAAACAATTTTCTTTCTTGCCTTACAGAGTGAAGAAGGAATGGTGGGATCAAATCCCAAATCCAGCCAAGAGCCATTTGGTTGTAAAAAATGTCAAGGTAATTTAAGGGCTTTGCGAAAAATGTCTTTTCCTGATCATTAAAAACAGGATATGTACTAACTGCTATTGGCTGGCTATTGCAGGGGATACTAAATACAATTCACATGTCCTAAAGCTTGTCTGTGTCTTTATCAGTTTTCAGTTTTGTGCTACATTGATGAAATGAAGTTCCCTTTCCATGACTTAAAGCAGAGTCATATGGAAAACCAAATGTAAGTAAGATAAAGAAAAAAAATTTCTGTTTTATAGCATAAAATATTCTCCTGTTACATAAACATTAACTATACTTTCCTTTTGATTCCCCAAAACAGAAGTTGCAAGAACTGTCTGGCTCAGAGTTTGTCAGGCCAAAGCTTCAAGGTAAAAGATAACATCACAAATGTTGAGGAATCTTGCAGTTGCCACAGCAAGTCTGGAGACTGGTTCCCAAAAGGCTACGGTGCAGTTTTAACCCCTGAGACAATTCTGGTTGAAAAGTCTCTTGAAATCTGTGAATGCTTAACAGACATTGAGGCTGAGAGCCAGGAAGAGACTCGTGACCGGGTCACCACGTTTGAGCCTTGTGAGAGCGATGCCAGTACTTTCAGGGAGCACGTTGAACACAATGATGCACTAGCTAACATGTTCATTGAGCTCCTGGCAGATGAAAACAATACACGAGGCAGTAAAGATGTAGACATCATCACAGATGAGAATAAAATCTTTGAGAGACTTGAGTCAGAAAAGCCATCACAACAAAATCCAAAAGAAAATCTAGACCAGCATCAGCAGCCATGTGGTATTTTTCACACAGACTCCCTTTTCTCTGAAGTCTCACAGGATGACTACAATTGCAGTACAGCCAGCAAGAAGTCAGCACTATCAGAAGAATCCTTTGAATCTGGCTATCAAAGCTCCAACACAAATTCTGCCTCCCTGGAGGCAAGATCTCCTCCTGATATGCTTGACCAAAGCCTTTTTTCGTGCAGTTCTGAAACTCAGCATGACTCATCTATCCTGATTCAGGAACCACCAAATGAACCAGCCTTTGAGATCATCGAAGGCCAAATAAGCCACTCTGCACACGAGAGCGTTGATAGCCGTATGTTTTCATCCATGGGGCCCTGCAGCTCTGCATACAAGAGCTTTGATACCCTTGTGTCTCCATCCACAGAACCTTGTAGCTCTGCGTACAAGAGCTTTGATACCCTTGTGTCTCCATCCACAGAATCTTGTAGCTCTGCGTACAAGAGCTTTGATACCCTTGTGTCTCCATCCGCAGAACCTTGTAGCTCTGCGTACAAGAGCTTTGATACCCTTGTGTCTCCATCCACAGAACCTTGTAGCTCTGCGTACAAGAGCTTTGATACTCTTATGTCACAGTCTATGGCTAACAATAGTCTGACTCTATGTTTTGAAAACATGTACTCCTCACCGCCTTTGACACAGTTTTCAGAGAATCCAGAACTTTGTTGTAGAGATCGAATTTATCAACCTCTTAGCGATCAGAGATGTTATGCCAACTACAGATCTGCCTGCACTGAGCTTGATTTTCAGAGCACCTGTTCAGATCATACTGATTTTCCATCTTTCTCCACACGTGCAAATGACAGAGTTTCAGCTTTCCTACCAGAGGAGGAAATACATAAGCAAATAACATATCAAAATATTCAAAAGAAAGCAGACGTAATTTCTTGCCCCACTGGACCTCAACCGTCTGGTTATCAACCTTTTGATACTGCAGTTAAATGTAACAATACCTACTCTGACAATGACAGTGAGGTTATCAGTAGGTCACGATGTGAACCCTTTAGTTGTCTTCTGTACAACAACCTCAGAGAAGCACCTCCAGGTACCATAATCCATGAACATGACCAGAAGACAGACAACCATGTATGTTTGGTTTTACAGGGCTTTGATAGTAGCATTGTCCCAGGCTTAGTCGCTAGTGAGAATGTCTCACAGAACAGTGATAACAGGCTTTGGATTATCAACTCTAATGAACTGTCTAATAGCAAAGATGAAAATACCATCAGAGACTTCAGCTCTAACAAATGCAACAGCTGTAACTCGCAAGATTTTAAAAGCAGAGAAAAAACTATAAAGGGGACAAAACCTGACACTTTGGACTATGCTGGTAAAGGAATGCAAAAGAGCAGCAGTAACATTCTAAATGCTGACTTCCAGTGCCACATACATACCCATTTGAAGAAGCTTGGAAATACAAGGGAAAATAAAGAGGTGATACAGCATGTGGTAAGCAGAAGATGTGGCTCAGCAGCTAACTTACCAGAAAAATCACTGGACAGCAGTGGGCTAAGCTTAAAAAGAAAAACTGCAGATTCTCTGGATCTCCTGGTTGTAGGCAACAATCTGTCACCTCTTTCTGTGAATAACTCCTGTCCTCCTTATTCTTGCACCATTCGCAATGAGGGATCCAAACTGACACCTCTAGTTAAAAAAAGGCCAGCAGAACTATTGAGGGAAAACAACAGAAAGAATGAGAAAAAAGTGAAACTTCTGCAAGTCCTTGCCCAGGAGGACAACTGTTATATGAAGGTAGCCTAGCCACCCTTGCCAAGGCTGATCCAAACCAGCCTTTGGAAATGAACTGTGAAACGTTGCTTGTTTTTCCAGGCTTGCCTAAAATGAGGGCTGCTGCAGTTCAGACATGGATTCACTGAGTTTTAACACTCATGCATGCTACAGGGCTGGCAACGGGTGTATGATGCAGGCCCTTGGGGGACATGAGCAGTTAATACCTAACAATTGCAGCTACAACTCAGGGAAGCAGAGCCAAAGCTAAGGTCTTCCTGGACCTGATCCTGCTCCAAAAGTGAGCAGCAGCTGCATAAAGTAGGAGTTCTTATTCAGTACAGCTCCTGTGATAATTGCTCTGGCTCTGCGTATGATTGGGAAGCACACAAAGGTGATGTGGAAGGGGCGGGCTAACACACCTGGAGGTTGAAAGTGGATGCAAATCAAAAGGGAAGTGACTGACTTGCTCTGACAGCATTGCATATTTCCCATAAATTATTTCCTGAAAGAGCGAGAGATGTCATGTGTGACTGGCCCGAGGCCGTTCTTCAGGATTAGTTTCTTTTCTAAACTATAGGGCACACATCTGCAGTTATTCTGTAGAAGTAAACAGAATCATTTCATATTTCCACAGCTGTAAATGGAATCAGACATTTCTAAACTATTATTTTCCCAGAAAGCCTATCTAGAGTATGGTCAGACTCCCCTAAAATGGTGGAGCGTTTTTTTGTGTCTTGTTCTGCCCAGACAGAGTGGGAATTATGCCCCAAGGTTGAAAATAGTATGTATTTCTTGCGGGGAAATTGTTCCAAAAGTTTTACTCATGACTCTGAACTTTACTAGGCATTGAATTTTTGGCATTGTAAATTCCACTATAACATGTTGGCAGTGGTGCAAAATAGTTAAGGACTGTTAACAATCATTTCATGTCTCAAGCCAGTTCTCATTATGCAGAAAACCCTATTCCCATTCCTATCCATAAGCAAAGAAGATAAGAGCAACTCTCAGCAACAACAGATCTGTAACTGCTACACTGCAACAGGCTTGACATGTTTGTAAGTAGGATTTTTTACTGCAACTCTTTATCTTCAGAGTTCAGGTTGGCCAGGTAGTAAAGGTTTCTACACACCAATTTTGCAGCAGTTAAAAAGGGTACATAAGCTCTGGAAGGATACTTGCAATGAAGTGTCTATATTCAGATGTGATAGCTAACATTTGCGTAGGCACTGGTATCTAGCCCAGTTTCATTAAGGTGGTGGTTAGTAAAAGATCTCACTGTGCATAGTTCAGCTTCTGATGAACATATTAAAAATTGTCTTTGAAAATATCAGGTTGAATTTTATTTTCATTCAGATAAGGTTTAATTCTATCAGAAATACCCTGTCATCATGATTGCAATCAGCTGTAGTTAAATCAGCAGATGTTCTGTGTTGTGGGAGGGCTGTGAGGACCTGACAGATAATGAGGCTTTTCAGGGCCTGTCAAACAAACCTTCACTGAAATGGTGGAACAGGAACATGGAAAGAGGCCAAGGTCAGCCTCATGAGTACGCTGACTCACTTCCCTATAGCCAAGCAAAATCAAGTTTAAGCACAAACCCACAGCTAGTTCTGCAGCTACCCGGAATGGGTTACTCACTGTTTACTGTAGGAGCCACAGGGCTGTAAAGGGAGGCATAGGGAAACAAGTGGTGCTTTCTTCCCCTTCTGCCCCTTTACTCTCCCTTTGGCCTTTGGGAGAATCCTCCTGGAGCAGCCAGGAGAGCTCTGCTCAGGCCAGGGTTGGAAACCTCCAGCAGTTCCTTGCTCTGGTGTGCTGCAGCTTCATTCTCCCTTTCCCTTGCCTTTTCTTTCCACACAGCTGTGTCCTCCTGTCCATTCATTTCCATTGGATGGCTTTCTCTGCTCTTGTGTGCTACCCCTTTCAGTCTTTCTTGGGTCAAATTAAACTGTAACTCTTTGGGAAGGGGGTCCTTATACCTTTGCCTGAACTCAGCTGGCCTGCTCACCTCTCCCTCCTATGGTAGGCACACTGTGTGACTGAAGATTGATCCAACTTAGTGATCCCTCCTCTGCTTCCTTGCTCTTGGGACTCAGAGCTATAGCCAGGCTATAAAACAGAGGTGTGTCTCTGGTGTAAGATGATGATGGGTTGGCAGTGGGTGTGGGCTTGCTTTGGCCTGCTTCCAGGACTGCTGATGCGGTGTGGTGGCCTGAACCACACCTTCCAGGGACCAGTCTGTTTCCAAAGCAGCTTCCCCTCACCAAGAGAGGCACCTCAGGCCCAAAAGTTGGGACCCTCCATGCCTGGCCTTTTTAGGTAGAGGAGGGTTCCTATCTGGTCAGAGATTTACTCACTGTAATAAACATATTTTCAGTGTATTTCAGTCTGTTTATAAGACTGCAGCACAAGTGAAGGCTTGTGTCTAGTCTTAGCCTAGTTCTAAGGCCATTTGTTACTCACAGTCACTCCACCTCCACATTTTCCTTACCTGGCTGCCTCCCAAGTATTACTAACCTGATCTGTCATTCCCATGTGTGAGTGAAATGGGTTCTTGAGAAAAGCAGGTGTATTCCCAGTACAGGAGGGACGAGTTCTGATAAGCTAACTGCCTTTCCTTTTTCCTTTGCAGAAAATGCCACGTGCTTGCTTTTTTTCCTCCCTTTTTTCTTCCTTTTTTTTTTTTTTGCTAGTGTCAAACCCATCCTTCTGCATAAACAATGTTAGCTCATTAGAACTAGGCGCTTGTACTGAATAGCTGTTGGAAAATTCCCAACCAGAGGTTTTGTCATTGCCCTTCAAAAGGTAATAGTAACCACAAGAAGAGAGTAGAAGTATAGAGCAGGGGCTTGAAGATAGGGGGTTAAACAGACCTGTGGAGTGAGTTCCTGGAGAAAGGGACGAGTTAATTTGGGTGGGGTTGGGTTTGTTTGTTTGTTTGTTTTTAATAACTTGTCTCTGCATCTTTCTTTGGAAGCCTGCATTGTCCAGGCAGACATCAAGAATGTCTGAGTGCTTATCTGCCATGAGCTACAAACGATCCAAAAAAACAAGTTCCTTTTAGGTGTCACTTTCTAGCAGAGAAATGGCCAAAAGATGAAAGGATGAGAGAACTGAATGAGGGGTTTGTGGCTCCTGCAACCCTGCTCTGTAATGTTTATCTTTGACTGTGGGATGATGTGACAAAAATCCTCAGTGAATATAGACTGAGAGGAGAGTTTGCTTTTTCCTACCATGTCTTTTCTATAGAAAACTCCTTAGAAAGAATGGTTTGTGGAGTTTGTATTCTGGCTCTGACAGAGATGCTTCCAAAATGTGTATTTTTGTATGCAGATGCCTTTACAAAGAGTAAGTGTTTTTGATTAATTCTCAGGGGAGCTGTGCCTGTGCAATGCACATGCATCTGCACGTGCTCACATAGATATTTCCCCACCTCTGCAGATTACTAAGTACAAGTTCTGCCTCAAGCTCCCACACGGTGACATATCATATGATCACATTTTACCTAGAATTTTAATTTTTTCACTACATGCTACTATGACTGAGGCAGCCATGTCATGCTGTCAGCTTTCCATCAGCTCTTGCAGCAATTGCACAGAGCTCTCAAGGCCCATCTGACTAACTGTGGTGACAGGGTGGGAAGCTGGGCAAAAGCTCATCATGAGCTTGCTGCTGCTTAATCAAAGGAATGAGACAATGAAGCAGTGCAGTTTTCAGTTGCAGGACTCTCAAAGCAGATTGTTCCAAAACAAAGGAAAAAAAAAAAACAGCCAAGCAATGAAGAAGGCAACTTCCAGATACCCCACTAACACACCTAAGCAAAGTTAAAGCTTACCGAAGTGCCAGACCTCTGTGTGTTTTCCCAGTTTTCCTAATAACAGCCCTCACCAGCACCCCTGGCTTGCTAAGTACTGACAACTCTCTTTCTTTGACAAGCTGAGAAAGAGCAACGTTGAGAGGAGCTTCAAGTCTCTGCTGTTCTCTGGCCAAAGCTGCCTTGCTCTGTTTGTCCCTTGTGCTGTCCTGCTTCCAACCTGACCCTTCCCTGGGCTTCTACAACATGTGATTTCCACTCACCCTTGAAAAATGAAAGAAAAACTGGCTGCAGGCTAGGAATGAACAGAGTGGGGAACTGACTGCTGGGGCTGATTTAGTTGCTAGCGGGGAGGAGCAGCTGTTTTCTCCTTTTTCACTCTTAGCCAGAAAGCTGTCTATAAACCAGTGAGCGTCTATGCAAGAGCCCTAAACATCTGCTCCCTGAGAGCAGAAAGGCGACTGCAATGGCAAGAGTTGTAATAGCAGCAAATTGTGACCTGCAGCCTGTCTTTAATAGAGGGACGACTGCATTACACCTGCTCCAGTCCACGGAGGGTGACATCTCCCCTAAGGAGCTCCAGTCCTGGTCCAGTGATGGATCACCTGCTCTTTTGGTCCTATCTGTGCTCGCTCGGAGAGCATGGCATTCAGAGTGGTGTGGTGTTTGTCCTCTGCTGGAAGGTGACTGAGCTAGTGACTAACATATCACTGGGACTTTCCTACTTGCTGCTGTTTCCCCAGCTCTTAGATGCGGGGGAATTTGCCATGAGCTGAAGAGACGGAGGGTGGCTGCTTCTCCACAGCTCAGCCACTGCTGGTTTCACTTGCGATGAACCACCCACACAGCAGCAGGAGTTACAACAGGGTGAGAGAAGTGCCGGACTGTCTTCTGGGGGAAGAATTTCCACACCTGCCTCAGGGTGGTAACAAGGCCCCAGCTCTTGCCCCCGTGCTCCAGAGAGTTGCGATGAGAACCGGGACCTACCTACCTGACCCTACAGTTAGCACTCTCGGCCCTTGGCAAGTAGCCAGCAGAGGCCTCGAGGAGATGGCTCTGGCAAGTTCGTGTTGTGCTGCGTTCACTAGCCCATGCACGTGTCTGTGACAGCACTCTGGGCTTGAAAGCTGTGCAGGGCAGTTCACTGCTGGGTGCTCTGCTCCCCCTGCCTCACTGAGCAGCTGCAGGAACGCCCAGCAGGGTCCTCTGCAGCATGAGGGAGGCAACAGATCCATCAAGTTGTTTCCTCTACAACGGTAGGAATTAGGACCTGCAGTTTAGCTTGTGCTCTCTGCAGACCCACTCCATAGCCTCATTCTGAGATGTGCAAGGCCCTTGTAACAGGTGTTGTCCTCCTGACATATCAAGGATTTTTCACGCTTCTGGTCAGTTACCTAACTCTGCTCTTCTTATGCCTTGTCTCAAAAACCTCCAGCTGTGCTCCTCGGGTGCAGAGGGCCAACATGTTCACCTGCTGTCCATGTTGTCTCTATTTTGCAAGCTATCAGTCATTGTTTTAGCTTCTTGCTGCTGCTCATACCGTATCACTTTCCATTTATGCACAAGCACAGCAACAGGGTGAGGGATGTGAAAACTGGGCCGTGCAGAGCTGCTCTTCCCTGATCACAGAACAGCAACCAGGGGATCCGGTAGCTTCCTTATTCAAGCAAGAGCCTCACACCACAACCAAAGCCACCACTGAGCATGGAATCCCCCTGCCCCAGCATTTTGTAGAAACAACCTTCTTACTCCTTCTGTTCTTGCTGAGCGCTGTAAATGTTTACCAGTGCTGATCTGGATGCAGATGTCCTGATGGGACATGATTTCATTGCTTTAGTCCTTCTGCTTTAGTGGAGCCAACAGCCCCACGTTTCAGCCTTTTTAGTATTACAAAACAAGCTCCTGTCTTCTACCACCTTGCAATGAACTCCTACCAGTTTTGTAGCCAAGCCACAGCTTCCAGCAACAAGGACTGCCACTTGGGTCAGTCTGTTTCTGTAAAAACCTTGTTTATATCCAATATTGTTAGTATACCCTAATATACTGCGGTGTGTGTTAATGCGTGCCGCTCATAACCTCCGCCTCTTTGTCCATCCTGCATCCCCATCCCACCTTTTTTCTTAAAGATATGGTATGTCCTTGTGAGTGATGTGAGGAGCCAGCAACTATGTTAGGATTGCAAGACCTGTGGGTGTGGGAGCGATCCAGCAGCGCTGCTGGAGCCGGCGCGCTGCCGTGCAATCGTCCACTGCAGCCCACTGCTTGCCACAGGGAGGCAGCACGAAATCTGAGCCGTTAGGTTTTGCTTTGAAAGTGCTTCCACACTCAGAGACGTGAAAGCAGCTAGTTGGGTTTCTGCCCTGTGAGCGACGCCAGGAGCTGTGCAAGGCACCCGGGATTGCGGCGCGCAGGCTGGGAGCGGGACCTGCCGCAGGGCTGGTGGCTGGGGGCACGCAGCG